ATACCTTTTTGACGTATGGGATGGCCGTACGGGGCCGTCGCACGTTTGCAGTAATAACTGTATCCTATAAGTACTGCAAACTCCTGTACATGTGCTACCCTATTTTCTTTTGCTCTCTGACTATGTCTCTGATGACGAATACGCGACGGATATCGAAACGTCAGGCAAATAAAGTCATTGTCCCAGCGGTCGAGTCGTCTTCTTCTCTATTCCCTGACTGTTGATAGTTCATTCAGGCCCAATTTAACTTGCAGACGTTGTTGTTCGTGCCAACGCAAGGATGTAGCAACGTTTGTCAAATTCAAGTTAGGCAATACTTCATATACTTCAAGAACCCGCGGAAATCGTCAATATTCTTCTCGTTTTTGTACGTTGCACACAAAGTGAGTCCACTATGTAGCATAAATGTAAACAACCAAAATATATGTTTTCAGGTACTTTGCCATCTTTAGGCAGATACCTTTGACGCCTGTAACTGAACACGCATCAATAGTTACGATGAATTTCGCCAACGTTTATGGGACGACTCATATAACTGGTGTCGACTGCAAGCATAAATCGAATAAAACCAGAAGTCCCGTGCGGCACAACCAGCTTACCATCTGCTCATTGATAACCGCCATATTTCCCGATCCTTCCTTCGTATTTTATTGCCATGGTTACCTGCACAGTTAACCAGGTCATGTTGAGAAAGCACCGAGTATTACGACTTCATTGGTGGAACACATCTTACATGTGTACCATTTTAAATTTCCTCAGACATTACTTTCGAACATTGATTTGATCACTAAATTAAACAGTCTGCGGCCGAAGATCGAAATTTGTATATTCATATTTTTATTGATTTCTACTGCCGGATGACCTAGTTAATATGCACGAGCTGCCTTTATGCTGTACCATGAAGCGGACAAATCTAGCCAAAAGGATCATGAGGGCTTTCCACTAGTATCTGTACTTTCAGTATGCCAAATTCTTAGGCAGGTTTCAAGGAGCTACTACGAACAACCAACAAAGATAGCTGGCTAAATTGCGCCAGTTCATGACCGAATAGAGAGTGATTTAACGATCTTTAATGATTGACACTCAACCTGAGAATTGCTATGGGTGCATTCGTGGCTGCGAGTTTTGAGTTTACGACTAGTTATATTGCTACCGCTTTTGCGCCGTTTCATAGCAAGTTCATGACACAAAACATCTTGCTCGAGTTGTTCCTGCTCTTCTTCGACGCAGCAAGTTGGTCTATACCAAAGTTAATATGCACGATATGCACCCTAGAGGACGTAATACTAGGAACGCAAAGTGCAAACTACAAACCCAGTAGAGCGAATTTTACCCGCGTATATTCGTATGTGGTGGTTTTGGACAAAAATTCCGTTAGCACAGCCCACTCTAGCATAGAAAATGGTACTGTTACTTCAGAAGTTTAATAATTGCCTCATATTGTCAGCCAACGGACCAGGTTTTGGAATAGAAGCAACAACCACGTGTGACAGCAATTACTATTTCAAGCAGTTAAAAAACGCACAACTCACTGAAGTCGGCCTATCAAAAGACAAAGCAAATATAACCTGCGAGGTACTCCTGAATTCTGCAACGCAATTTTCTTAATTAACGCGCGTATCTGATTTTGTTTGTCTAAACTCCAATATCCATTTAAGCACGATATATACTTTGTTACTGAGATATATAAAAGTCCAAAACACGTTGATTACTTTTGAATTAGTAGCTGCTTTATCATGAACACACGAAATAAAACGTTCCGGATTATTACCTTAACATTTAATAGATGTACAAGGGCGGTTGTACACACACTGCATTATTTTCATTATTGTCATTCATAAACAAATATTGGTTATTTCTAACACAAGCAAAATCAAAATTTAGCGTAAATTGTATAGTACTAGTTATAAGTAATCTCCAGAACTTTTATTTCCATATTAATTTTGAACGCTCCACATATATATATTTAACTATTCATCCCTGCAAGGTTGTCTATTTTCGAAGGTTAATGTTAAAATAAGGAGCGATTCTTAAAACAATTTAGTTGATCAAACTATAGCTATACCTGTCGTTGGGAGGCTGAAAACTGTACCTGAGGGATTTTTTAGACGTTCGAACAGAAGTTTAGTAAAAAAATAAAAAGATCAAGGTACAGAACAATGCAGAACCTAGGGTCGATAAACTAGTACCAGAGATATTATAAAACTAGTCAGTTTGACACGCGGATGTCCTAGGGCTCAAAGTAAATGAACATGTAGTAGAATGAATGCTATCGGAGAGTTCGCTACGAGGCAGGCAAGTTAAATAAGTAAGAAAATATGCATACTTGGTTAAACATAATATAAATATTACTATGCAATGGCAGATAGACGCTGAAAGATCGGCTATGAAAGTTGCCCTTTCGGTAATGTTTTTCTGTCTGCAGTATATATGTAACTGACAAAGACGGTATACCACACTGTCGACAGAGCTACTTTATTAAAGCCCAGACACGAGTATAGCAGAAAGGTGACGCAGAAA